GGTTCATAGATAACAGGCGCAATATGACAGTCAATATTTGCTTTTAACCAATAACATGAGGCGTTGGTAATAATTAAAACCGTTGGAAAAGATTTTACTGTTTATAAGCGATGCGATGTTCTATCGTTAAGACGCCACAAAAAACTCAAATCATAAACTATTATTACACCATCAGAAAATGAAGCATTTGTGCGACGCAAACGTAGGCCGCCAGTTTTTAACACTTTTTTCTGTAGTGTTAGTGATACATTTGATGTGATAGGAAAATAATGAGTTTGTATGCGAGTAAATATGAAAATTTGGATGTGAGATATGGAAATACAAAAGAATTGAGTGCTATGTATGTAAATGCCCCAAAATAACTTGTAAAAAAACTCAATAAATAAATATATTTTTAGAATAAATGAAAACTAGAAATAAAAACAAAAAACAAAATTTATCATAATCAAGCCCCCTTTTCCAATTTTGATAGACCCAACGCGAAAAAGGCAAAAAAAAAAAAAATATTTTGGTAGGGGCAATACCGATATTTCCCCCCATATAAGTAAAAAAATTGAATTTTGATGGGAGGGCAAATGTCCCCTGGACCCTTCTTGGGCCTGCCTCTGATAGTCGATACCCAAATCAACCACAGCATCGATGCATGAGAACTTATAAAAGATGAATTCACATTAGTGAAATCCACACATCTATTGCTTGTCCATCAACTTCATGACAATGACCACATTAGAGATCCAAATCCAATCATGGTGTTACACTTCTCTGATGAAGCTGAACTCTAGTAGGATCTAAACTTATTAACAAATTAATTTGATTAAAGGGATAGTGAATGATTAGATTCTTTTCTTGAGTTCTCAAGCCTAGAATTCACATTCAACATGTGGCAGACGAAGTTGATCTATCTCATGCATTTCATGTGCTAAACAGGCAAATTGATAGGAATATTCTCTAAATGTGGGAATCAGTTATCATCCATATTCGTCGATAAAAGCAGTGCCAATATGAAATGTTCTGTTTGATCTCACCTCAACTACAAGTACTTTTTTGTTCACCTTGGCAGTTTCTAGGTTGTTGCTTCACTAAACATTTAAGCGCAACATGCTTCCTTGCACATTGTTTATTACCTTAAGGTAGCACATATTTGCTTGCATAAGGTCATCACAAATCGTCACTATATGGCAACAGCTAGGAATTTAGCATCAACTTGATAAGTTTAATGCCACATCTTAAAATGTGATCAAAAGAGTTCAGCTAAAAAATGACATTGCAGAAGGCTGGTGCATCTACTATGATAAAATTGGTTCATTATTGTAAACTGTCTTTTCCCCTTCTCCCCAAATATTTGATATGGCAATCACATCAAAAATCTCAATTGCATTCTGTGGAGAATCCAAAGCATTATATTGATTTTGGCGCTAGTTGAGATTCTCCCAACTTCAGCTCATCAAAAACACTTTGGAAGATGATGAACAAATTTTCAGTGTCTATCAAAATTTTGTCAATCTAATTATTGGTGATCAGTATCGTGACACCTGTAGCTTACTTATATAGAACGCCATGGACTAGCAACTCGGTGTCAATGAATGTAATTGAAGGTAAAGCTAAGGTTGGTGGATTAAAGCAACACACCAACTTAACCTCTAAACATTTCTATATTTCTCTATCAGTGATTTTTATGGGCCTCCTTGAACTCGGCTCAACAAGTATGATCTTTTCCAACTTTCTAGCCTTGACCAGTTCCTTAATTAAGATTAGAAAATGTTGACATTCTTATGTGTTGTTACGGTGGACTTAATGATAAAAACAATTCTTCATTAGATCTCGTTGGTAGCCCCAACTCTCATTGGTTTATCCTATACGACTTCCACTAACTCGTCCAATAAAAAATTTAGATGAGAAATAATTAAAAGTGAATAGGTTGGCAGTGGTAATCTCTTTTGTTTGAGTTCATCATGGAGATCATCTCTTGGATGAGTTCATTTCTCAAATGGAAGAAATCCCTTTTAAGGAATCTCCTCTTGGCTTTGTGCTCTATACAGAGGCTTTCTTATCTTTTAGAGGGACCCTAAAATCTCCATTTATTATTTTGGTTCTCCTCACCTATGTCGGTCAACTTTTTGAAAAGCAAAAATATTGATAATAACTTTTGAAATTTAATTTAATATAATAAGTAAATAGAATTGAGTTTTGAAAAGAGTGTGTTTTAATTTTCAAAAAATGAGACCAAATAGATCTCATTCGTCTAATAATTTGCAAACTATTGGACAAATGAGAACCACACTATTGGACGAATGAGATCTATTTGGTCTCATTTCTTTTCAAAAATTAAAACACACTACTTTCAAAGCCTAAACTATATATTTCTTATATTTAAATTAAATTTCAAAAATTATTTTCTTATTCATATTTTCAAATAATCAAAAAGTTGACCGACAAACTAGCAGTGAGTGTGCTTGTCATTTTGTTGTATTCCTTGGCGGCTGCATAACTATTGGTGAGTTCAAGTGACTCCGCCAAAGTTCTCACTTGTTGGAGTCCTAAGGCGTACCTAAAAGAACCTTCTCATAGATGGTGTACTAATAGCACATGAACAACAATTGATTTGAGTCCTTTGATCTCTAACTTCTCCTTTTGGAGCCAGACCAAATGTACATCTATAGCATAGCTTGTGTACAATTTTTCTTGCAACAAACTCTAATATCTACCATGTTAACACATCTCTATCACTATGATTAGCTCCTTGAAATGCTCACTTATAATTTGTGGCGTATCTGCGCTCGCCGACTTAATATCATTAGATTAAAAACTAATTGTAGGTTCACACCAACAAAATAATAGCACTTAGAGAAAAGAGAGAAATGGAATAAAGAGAAAAAATATGGAAAGAAAGAGCTCAACAGAAAAAGAGGCTTTTTGGATTTGATTGCTCAAGGAAACAGTATAGATATGATGTGGCATTAACAACATTGACCTCCTATTTATAGATTTGAGGTGATTTGACTATATTATATATTTCGATACACATAAATAAAGTATAAAGTACATCCTTAGGGCACTTTGCCAAACAATCATCTTCTTCAAATAGACAAACTCATGTTAAGGGATCCCATCTAAGTATTGGTGACAATAACTTTTGCTACCCCGTACAACCCTAGGGCACTTTGCCAACCTCATTCTATCTAATTGTTAGCCTCCAATGAAAGGAACAGAACCATATAATTGCTTATGAACTTAACTTTCATATTTGCCAATTTCAAACTCTTTGACATATTGTCATCATAACTTTATCATAACTTTAAATGTCCATATGGATTAATATCATTTGAAGCAAACTTTATAAGGGCTGTTTGATAATCAAATTAAAGCTGAATCTAATAAATCTAATTTACAGAATTTACAAAATTCATTACCAAATGGACCCTTAATATCAACTTACTATTGGCAACATTTTCCTGCTTAGTTCAAAACACACCCTCTTCCTACTGCATAAGCCAAACTTTGAAGATTCATACAGGATTTATTCCAGCCTAGAAAACCCTAAAAAATAATTCAAAACAAGCAGCCAAATTTGACAGTAACATAAGAACCAAATTAAGAAAAACAAAGACTACAAACTAGATTAACTAAAAGGCATTAAACTGCCCCTATTGCAGTATTTATCTCTTGCATATTCTAGTCAAATACTTGAGTATATAAATAAGAATATATTAGTACTGAAATAGTATACTATAAAATGTTACAAATCTATCCTGCTCCTTTCGCCAAAAGTCAAGCAAAAAAGTTCAGCCTTCAGTAGCAGGCAGCACGCTTCTGCCTCCTTTTAATTCCCCAACACGTATAAAGAGTTACATTTACAAATTACAATGGATTCTTTTTCATAATTTTCACAACACAATCATTTTTATATCATCGAATAATCATTAAATAAAAACAGTTGAATTATTATATTTATATTATAGAATTATACAATAAAGAAATATACACAACAATCATGGCATAACCGCTCCCCCAATTTAGAATTTGTTTCATTCATATTACCATGATTGTCGAACAAATCTTAAATAACAAACATACCCAAAGTCATGATATCATCCGTGATCGAGAATCTTTGCTCAACACGAGTCTTGCTCCTCCCTGAAATAACACGCATAGATAAAACAATGATGAGCAATGACAGTACAATAGATTACTCAAATTTATTACAGTAACATAATAATATTATATACAAGAACATCAATGTCATAAATAAGCAAGAATTATAAACAATTATATAAATAATTATTTCAACATGATATTAAAGAAAATAACATGACACAAAATAATATTTAATGCTTTCATTTAAAATATTTTATATTTTTTTCTTCTCTTATACCTCCATTTATTTATATTTTTGGTCATTTATATATTTACTTTTAAATATATTTCACATCTCAAGTATATAAATTACACTTGTAAATAACTGCATAAATACACAAGCCATTATCTCTACTTGAATGCATATAAAATACAATCATACCAATGCCGCACTTATTTCTTTTTTTATTTTTTATTTTTTTAATTTTTTAGCACGTATAGTTTTGATGCATAAGCATAAAAATATAAATAATTTTAGCAAATAGAAACATCATAAGTACCTCAGAAATTTAAATAAATTAACATGTATAATGAACATTGTGTAAAATTAGAAATAAAATTTCGAAGTTTCTTATTCTTCAATAACTTTATCATATTTAATATACTCGTTAAAATATGAAAATTATTATAAAGCATGAAAAAAACAATAAAAAATGATGTTTTTATATTAATATGATCAATACAGTCTATTCTATAATATATCAAAAATCATGAGTTGAAAACATAAAAAATCTTCATAGACCTAAATTTATCTGAAATTTTAAAAAAATAAAATATCAAAATTTTACTCAAAAATAGAAATTAAAATCTGAAGTAGGATAACATTAGTTACTTTGAGAAATCAATTCAAGGCCTTCAAATCTTACTTCCTCTCTAACTTTTTTTTCCTCCATATCTCTAAAAATGACTCTCGGACATAGTGACAAAAATAATAATAATAAATAAACTTGAAATCTACTTATAGGAGTGGGTGCTTAAAAGTAATAAATATTTTATAACAAAAACAATAATAAATAATATTAGTAATAGAAAATATTAGGTTGGTTAGAAATACAGTGGCTATGAATATGTTTGTGTTATTTAGCTCTCTAAAAAAAACAGGTAAATAAAATCCTAGAAAATAATTGCAACCAGCTTACAAATACTTTGAATAATAAAAAAACAATTCTATTTCATAATCGTTAGAGTAATCAAACAAAAATTATATTACATGCAAACATGTTACATAAATAGCCTCCAAATTCACAATATCTGAACTCATATTATAAAAGAGCATGACAGGTCCATAACATAACAAAAAGCAATAATTTGGCTCTGAACACTTCTATCTCTTCAATATACTGTAAACATTTGTTTAATTTTCTTGCTAAATGGAAATAATAACTTATATTTAAATAAGTCAAAAGAGAATTATAAGCACAATTTTGCTCAGCATAGGATATATTGTTGTTAAAAAAATACATATTATAACATTTCAAAACTACATTAATATGCAATTAAACATAAAAAAAGGTTCATACAAAAAACAATAAAAAAACTATGTATAGGCTGTCTAACACCCATCCAGAAGCATTCAAACAGGTAGTATAACAGATTCAGCTCAAGTAAAAAAATATTTAAAAGTACTAACCTGAGGCATTCCACCTATAAGTCAAGTTGCCTCCTCTCTCTCTGTATAGACCTAAATATCCTCGCTGCAGACTCTGTAGCAGAGCTTGCATTATGTGGAATAACCTTAATCACTTGAGTTGGATTTTCCTTGCCGCTAGACTGCGAAAGCTGGCACGATCCCTCGTTCACCGGAGGAATGGAAAAAACTGGCAACAATTCGCTGCCTTCTCCTTGTGCCTTATCACATGGACTACTTGCCGTGCTCGCTTGAAGCTCGTAATCTTTTAAAGATGGATTATTCTTTGTAGGATAACCAGACAATGCTTCGCTTTTGTTGAATGATTTGTTGCACGAACTTTGGGAGCACTGCAAGGAGCGTACGTCGGATTTTATGTTGGTTAGAGGGCTTACTTGCTCGACAGCAGAGGCGGAAACAACGGGATTCACCATAGGAATGCCATAAGGAGCTGGAAAGTAGTTTGGGCCGACTTGTGGAGGGACGGGGAGTGTGTGGTTTTGTTGGTGGTGAGATGAAGGAAAACCGTAAGGTGAATTCATGAAGCCGCCTCCGTAGAGAGGAGGCATAAATCCAGGAGGAGGGCAAGGACCACTATAAGGTTTATAAATGAGACCTTCCGAGGGTGACATAACTGGTATCAACCATTGATTAGGAGGTTGGAAACACCATGGATTTTGTCGGTTATCTGGAGCCATGGGGATCAAATGGGTGTTAGAGGTAACAGGAACATTTCTGGGAAGTGGACAGAGTTCTTTGTTGGGATCTCTTTCTTGAATTTGAAGAGGGGGAGGAGCTGCCTTTTCTAGCTGAGGAGCTGCGTCTTGGGTCTGTTTTTGGGAGGAATAAGTTCTCTGTGGTGTGGATTTTAAGATGGATGGAATAGGAAGGTTCTTTGAAATTACTTTGGGCGGGGCTGTAATAATATCAGAATCGTCACAAAGTAGATGCGGTGATGCTGCAAATAGCTTCTGGACCTGTTTAGTAAAAATAATTATTCTTCACCGATTGTAATTAGCAATGTCCATAATGATGAACAATAAAGCAAAAACTCAGTTGCATAATTGGGTTGAGATGAACTAACTTTTATCAATCTATGCAGCTCAAAAACTTGAATCGCAAAGACTCTCTGTTGGCTGCAAAGGAATTAAATTGTAAATTATATAAAAAAAAGAAAGGAACAAATAAAAATCAAAAAATATGTCAAGCTCATATTGTTACGAGATGAGAAACAGTTCAAAATCAAAGTATTGCAATAAGTATTAGCATGTTCAAGAAATAAGTTCTCTGAAAAGGGAATCCAAAATAAGAGCAAGAATAAGGATATCTGTAATCCATTTACTAATAATGGAAGAGTAGACATTTATTATGAAGCATAGTGCATTGCAGATAAAAGAGAAACATGCAGCCATCTTTAAGGACTCAATAAAGCAAAAAACCTAGTCGCAATGTACCTTCTACATCTACACAACTGTTGCATTGATACAACTGTGTCAGAATTTCCAACCATATTACCACTAATGGTTGCATCTCTCCCTGTGGGGATGTCTTTCTAGAGGAAATGCGTAGTGGTGAATTATTCGCTCTTTTCTTGTGAATCTCAAAGGTTAATCCTTCAAAATCGGGTTCCTCTATAACAGTTGAGAAAACTTCAATATATTTCAATTATAAAAAATAGGGTGTTGTTTTGACTTCGGACTTGGATGTTACCAAGTGCTTTGTTGAAAAAAATGTCGGTGATGACTCCTTGTGTTCCTTCAAACTTTACCTGAGGAATTGTTGTTTGCTGTCAGTTTATCTTCTTCTCAAGATGATGGCCTTTCTGCCAGGAGTAATAGGTGAAAGACAGATGTATGTAATAACTAGCTCTGGATTCTGGTTGACTAGATTTCACATATGAATGAGGCATTTTGCAACCTGAGTATTATTGGCAAGCTCTATGGGACGCTTGGTACCTAGGCATGTTTAATGATGAGAATGAGAATTGGTTTAATGAATCTCATTGAGATTACCAGCGTTACTGTGACTGTTTTACTGGATGTCTTTCTTAAATAGACATTTATTTTAGTTTTAGCTTGTTTAGGCCAAGTCTTCATAAACTATTTTTCTTTACTTGAATTCACGCTTTTCCCTTTTGTATTAGCTTTCCTTCCTTAATAAATGAACAGAAGTTTAAAAAATAAATAGAAAAACAATAAAAACGATCCCAATATACGAAATCTAAATAATATGAACTCCCACCCCCCACCAACCCACCTCTCTCTCTCTCTCTCTCTCTCTCTCTTGGCGTAATAAATCATTATTATAATTCTAAGCTTTCATTCAATTATTTTTTGTTAATGATAGAACAAATTATGTTTTAAAAATTCATAGATCACGCCACACTGGTCAGTTCATAGGGCCACTACACTGCAATGGGGTAATGTTGCTTTTCATTGTTTATAGTTTTTCAAAAGTGCCACCGAGTCAAATGGTTATTGTTACAATAATTTTTCCTTCCTGTTTCCATATTTTCTATATTCCTTCTACAAATGCAACCACCAGCATATCATTTCTTTTGTGCGCTCTTTTGTATGTTATTAATGCTCAATCAGTTGAATCAAGCACACAAGGTTATGTGGAGACTATCAACAGTCGCGTCAAATTGAACAAATGTGTCAGACACAAGCAATTTGCAAAATCCGATACTCCTAATCAAAAGGAAGGTCGTCACAAAAGAGAAAGTTGTGCCTTGTGACAAGTTCTTATCCAACTAGATTAAAAAGAGAGATTAATTATGAATTTCTGGAATTTGTGATTTGATTATAGGATGATTACATAAAATCAAGGATAATTATCTATTGTTTCTACTATTTTAGTATTTTTTTAGTATTTTTTTGCTAACAAATACCAAAGGTGAAAAATGAGTAGGACCTAATGATATCCCACTAAATGTGTGAAAATATTTAGGAGATTTGGGAATTTATTGGCTTATTAAACTTTTAAATATTATTTTAAAAGCTAAAAAAATGTCTGAGTGAAGGAAAAGTACTTTGTTCTCTATTCTTTAAAAATAAAAGGGATGCGCAAGAGTGTGCAAATTATACAGAAATTATGTTGATGTGTCCTACATTATTATGGGAGAGTAACTGAACATCGGTTGACGTGATACAAGGTTTCTCATAATCAGTTTGGATTTATATCGGACAAGTTTACCATGGAAGCTATACATTTATTGAGAGGTTTGATGGAGAAGTATAGAGAGAGTAAGAGGGATCTACATATGATTTTTATTGAATTAAAAAAAATTACGATAAGGTTCTTAAGAGAGTTTCTTTAGAGAGTTCTAGAAGAGAAAGGTGTTAATACGACTTATATTCAAGTCATTAAAGATATGCATACTAGAATTGTTACTTGTGTTCGAAGAGGAGGATCGATTAAGTATTTTTCTATTTTAGTTGGATTAAATCAGGGATCGACTTTAAGCTCATAATTAAAGCATATCTTTTTGCTTTAGTTATGGATGCACTTACTGAATATTTATAGGAGGATGTACCTTGGTTTATGCTTTCGTTGATGATATCCTTCTCGTGAATTAGATTAGAGAAAAAGCTAAAAAAAAACTTGAATTATGGAGGTCTACGTTGGAGTATAAATGTCTTCGCTTGAGTATAGCTAAAATTGAATATATGGAATGTAATTTTAGTAGTAGTAGCTCTAGAGATAGAGTTATAACTATGGGTGATCAAATTATAAGAGGTGTGAATGCATTAGATATCTCGGTTTTATTGTTCAAAGTGATGGTGATATAGATGGGAATGTTATTAGTAGAATTCAAGCTGTTAGTTGAAGTAGAAGGAATGCATTGGTCCTATTGTGTGATAGCAAAGTACCGCGTAGACTTAAAGAAAAATTTTATTAGATGATGGTGAGACTCTATGTCGCATAATGTTGGCCTTTAAAAGTGTTGACGAGCTGAGAATGCTTAGGTTCCATCCATAAATACATACACATATACTTAATTTTTTTATTAAGTTAAAATTTTTTATTACAATAAAAATAATGATATTTGAACTTTCAATGATTGAGCAATGAGCACTTAGATCATGCATTAACATTTAACATCATAATAGATATTTTATGTTTATAAATTCAATTTTCATTATGATAAAGTTTATTTTTCAACTTATTTATCTTTCATAAATGTTCATATACATTTAGTTACGTATTTATCCAAGCTTTTTTACTATTTTACATCATATTTTAAATGGCAATGCTACACAATGTGCTTAGGCTTTGCATTATAGCATGCTATTCACCATTGACAACTATGGATGTCCCTAAATCAAATGCCCTTTATTTACACCAAACACTTTTCTCAATCCTTAAAAATTAATCATAAATCAAATAAAAATAAAATCCTTCAAATAAATCAAATGCATAAAGCATGCTCACTAAAAAAACATACTCTCAAGCTCAAAACACAACCAAGATCAGCAATAGCTTGATAATCAATTAAAATCACATCACCTTCTAATTCTCAACTGTAGCTCGATCATTAAGTCAAATCATTACAATTCCTCCTGTGACTCCTACGACGATAAAATTTTATACTCGATTGTCTGACAACAAAGCTGACAATATTACACAAAATCAGAAGTATAAAGCAAATAAGATAGTTAAAACAAAATAAATATATATATATATCAATTACTCCGAGATAAAATTCGAGATCAATCAAAACTCCCACTAAATTGATGCCAAAAAAGATGATGAGAAATCATCAACAGCTCTCAAGAAAGATCTAAGGATCCTAAGATCTACATTATGCTATAGAAAGTCAACCCAAAGATCAAAATCCATATGAAAAAGAAGGCATCAAGCAGAAAAACTAAAAATCAAAAGAGAAAATAGATCAAGAAACTTCAACAAAGGTGTCAACAAAGAGATTTGACAGAGCTCATTTGAAATTTAGTTGCTTACTACAATCTCCTTAAATGCGTGCCAATTTTGTTTTCATACTAGTTCCCTCAACAATCTCATTGACCTATGTTTAAAAAATTCAAAGAAAAATTAGAGAGACATAAAGGTCTACCTTCAAAATTAATGAAATTACACCATCCGATTCACAATAAAAATATCCCAATGCTGAATTCTTCAATGGGAACACAAGTAAAATAAGTAGATGTAACACAAATCAGTTAGAAATTAACTATATATACTTATAGATGTAAATTAACTATATATACTTATAGATGTACATAAGAATTTAGGTATTTGAAGTTGTAACCTTTATTTATTGATTAAAATTGATTAAGGAAGAAAATGATGGCTGAGGTTGAAGACAAAAAGAACAGATTAGAAGAATTTGACACATAGGAGAACAAAACATGAGACAAAGCAATTCAGTCTGAAGATTATTCTACTCTAGAAACGCTAAGTGTTGAGAGAGCTAGGAACTTCTGATTTTAGAGATTTTAATCTTAAGGGATGATTAATTATTATGTTCTTACTTCAACGTTTAATAACAAGAGGAGAGAGAGAGACTTATGGTGCTAGATTTATTTTACATAATTATATTGTTAGTTCTTATAATAATACCTTATCTTATTTTGATGTTCATACAACACTTTTAACTTCATGTTCTGATATTAGTAATGTTGACATTTTACTTGCTACTTTGTACAATTTATTACTTTTTACTAAACGGGCATGTTAATATGTTATATTTTAACATGTCAGTAGGTTAAAATGTTAATATATTACCTAGTACTTCATACTCTAATGTATGTACGGTACTATATACAATTTGTTGATTTAAGGGCTTCATAAACGAAAAATGACTCAAAAACAAGTAGCATAATTTTAAATCCGGATCAACGGCACTATCAGCTTTCAGAAAAGAAGTAAAAACTTGCAATGTCGGAGATAGGAAATTCAGTGGAATGTATTTAATCAACGGCTCCATCAGCCTTAGCCAATCATTTAGTTCATCTCAACAAAAAATCTCATATTAGCTAATATATATTAATGACTAGATTCTATGCACAAAATAATAATATACATACAAATAGAAATATGTATGCCCTCATCTGCAAGAGAAGAAGATATGATTATAAGCTGCTCAGAATAACATAATTGTACGAGATGCGAAAGATCAAGTTCTATAAAAAATGAAGACCAAGTTAATGAAAGCTCTATAACAAGCTTATAGTCAAAAGTACTGCACCAAATGAACAAGTAAAACCAGCAATTTTATGAAACCACCATGTCAACACCACAATAAAAATTTTCACTTACTTCACAATTGCTCTCCTTGCCTTCCAAAACTGCTTAGGGCCAATTACTCTTACGATATCATCAGGAGATATATCTGATACTGAAATGGAATCTATCATTGAGGCCTCCGAAACTTCAACGCTTCGTTCAGTATCTTTCAACTCACCTGGCCCACCTGCTTTCTCATCAAAGCTTCTTTGACTATATCCAAATGACAACCCAGTACTTAATGTGCATTGAATCTTGTGAGCATTCCTGTTTTCAAGAGAACCATCTTGGGACAAATCATTGCCCATCCTGGCGTTGTGTTGACCTGTTTTATCAAAAAACTTCATTTTGAATTCAGCACATTTATCTGAAGGTGCCAAGGAAATTTTTAAAGGACCAGCAAGTATCTCACCAGCTTCTGGATCTTCGCTTGAAATGTTTTCTCTAAACTCTTCTTCAGCGTGAATTCTTTCATGCCTTTTTCGTAATTTTCCCGAAGCATTGGCTTCATAAATGGCCTTACTAGAAGGACTCCAAACATGGATGGAAGAATCAAGAGTGGAAGAGATCTGAACTTTCGTAGCACAAAAAAAGGATGGCTTGCTTATCTCAGCCAAAGGTGCATTCTTTGAATGTGGTACAACTTCAGATGGAGCTAAAGTTGGAACTCTAAAATCATCATTATCATCATCAAACTTTGCTTTAAGGGAATTTTTTCCGCCTGTAAAGTCACCTACTTTGAAGGCAGTACCTTCAGCACCTGATCCTGCAGCACTAGAAGTTCTTTCACAGTCAATTCCCCTGGTTTTGCTACTTTTCCCATCAGATGACTGCGAATAAGTTTTGTCAGCTGAAGAGAGAGGCATTGAATGAGGTCGAAAAAATGGAGAATGTGCAGTCCTTTCATTAGTGCCTCCCTGTCGCCAAAATGCACTTGTGAATATCAATAGAAAAAAGCCGGGTATAGACTATGTATTTAACTTTAAAATTGAAGAATAATGCCATGAAAATAAGGTAGCCTAAGAGAAAATGGCACCCATTAAATACTTAAAAGAAATTTCAGAAAAAGAGGAAGGACACAAACAGGAGCAGGGATAGAACATGGAATGTAATTCCCAATATAGAGATTGTCAATTTAAGTGACGAACATAAAAAATAACAGACACACACACACACTTTCTAATTATTGTTTTTCTCCACGATTAATACAAAGAATGAATTGACAATGGTTTTCCTTTTTCTAACTATTATAAAGTTGGAATCAAAAATATCTTTAATTAAAGCTTAAAATAAGTTGAGAACTCAATCACAATAATATAAATTTTCATTTATTTGACTATTTTATTTGCTGTTCAAAAGAGAAGGGGTTTATCAATTTTATCCTTTTAAAATAGTCCCATGCAATGGATAACAGAATGACATAAATATAAAACTTTTTGAGAAAGCAATATAAAAAGCGATCCTCCAAAATTATTATCTCAGTATCACTCAATAAAGCATTAAATAGTATTTTCTCATTTGTTAATTTCTAAGTATTAATTATTTTATTGTAAAGAGATGGAGTTTATAAATTTTATCCATCTAAAGTAGGCACTTCTGATGGATGTGATAATAAAAAATGAATAATATCTTTTTGTTGATATTTTCATACAAAATATAAACTTAAACTATTATTCAATATAATATATATTAAGATACAATGTGAATACAAATATTTTATTTGAAACATTAAACCTACACGCAAGAAAGGAGCCCAATAACAAAATGGAATTTTCACCATTTTTTTTAATGGTCAAATGGCATCTATTAAATTAACTAATGTCTAATCCAATGTACAACAACAACAAAGCCTTAAACCCACTATGTGGGGTCAGCTACATGAATCCTTTTTCTCCATTGCGTTTTATTTAGTGTCATATTTTCATTTAGTTCTAATAAATTATAATCATTTTTTTATACAATAAGCCCAAGTTTTCCTAGGTCTACCACTGCATTTCTTAACATAAGTTAAATCTAAAACGTCTGCTCTCCTAATCAGATCATCAAATGGTCGATGTTTAATATGACCAAACCATCTAAGACGACTTCCTCTAACCTATAACTTTGTCTGTCATAGGAGCTACACCAACTCTATCACAAATATATTTATTTCGCATTTGTCTCTAAGCGTAAAGCCACTCATCCACCTAATCCTAATCATTCTCATCTGCAACACTTAGCTTAGTATTATGCTTCTCTTTTAAAGGTCAACATTCAGCGCCATAGAGCATTGCAGGTTTCACCACCGTCTTATAAAATTTTCCTTTCAGTCTAAACAATACTTTTCTATCCAACTAAGTGGGTCGGCTACGTGAATCTTTTTTCTCCATTGTATCCTATTGAGTGTCATATTTCATTTAACTCTAATAGATTAAGATCATTTTTTATACAATATTAAAAGTCTTTTTAGGTCTACCTCTGCCTTTCTATATATAAGTTGAATCTAAAACATTTACTTTCCTAATCGGATCATCAGATGGTTAATGTTTAATGTGACCAAACCATCTAAAACAACTCTCTCTAATTTTGTCCGCCACTGGAGCTACACCAACCCTATCACGAATATATTCAATTCGCATTTTGTCTCTAATTTCCAAGCCACCAATCCACCTAAGCATTCTCATCTTAGCAACACTTAACTTTATTTAATGCTTCTCTTTTAAAGGCCAACATCGCACGCCAAAGAACATTGCAGGTCCCACCACCATTTTATCATGTAATAGGCTCGATGCATTGCTCCACTCAAACCAACTAACTTGAATTCTACCAATAACATCCCCATCTAAATCACCATCACTTTGAACAATCGGCCCAACTTACAACGGTGACACTAGAGCTACTATTACTAAAATCATATTCCATGTATTTAGTTTTAGATTTATTCAAAAGAAAGCCCAAAGACTTCAATGTAGATCTCCATAATTCAAGTTTTTCCTAAAGTCTTTATGTAATCTTATCCACAAGAAATATATCATCAACTAAAAGCATACAACAACTGATGTAATCCAACTTAAATAAGAAAATAATTGGTCAATCCTCCTGTCCAAACACAAATAACAGCTCTAGTATGCACATCTTTAATGACTTGAATATAAGTCATATCAACACATTTCTTCTCTAGAAATCTCAGAAGGACTTCACTTGAAACTTTATAATAAGCCTTTTCTAAATCAATAAACATCATATGTAGATCCTCATTACTCACTTTGTACTTCTTCATCAAATCTCTCAATAAAGGTATGGGTTAAATAGCAGACCTACCCGACATAAACCTAAACTGATTATGTAAAAATCTTTGTATCACGTCTTAACATATGTTTAGTTACCCTCTCCTATGACTTTAAAGTATGACATATCAACTATTTTCCTCTATATATTGTATGATATTTTGCATCCCATTTATTATTAAAAATCAGGACCAAAATACTCTTCCTCCACTCCTCAGGCATCTTTTTAGTTTTCAAAATAAAATTAAAGAATTTAGTAAGAAAAAAGCTCCTAAATCTCCTAAATAATTTCACACTTTAATTGGAATATCATTAGTTCCAACTGATTTTACACCATTGGTTTTTTAGTGGTTTTTTCAAAGCCTCCTTAACTTCTTTTTACTAATGGGGCAATAAAAATAAAAAGTTTATCATTATTAACGATATTAAAATCACTATAGTCGATCTTATTTTCAGAAACTTCATTGATAAGTTTATCAAAATAGCTCGCCCTCCTAGGTTGAATACCTTCCTCTAAGAAAAGCTTTTTTTTTTAATTTTTCATCTTTAATACACTTTACTTGAATTAAATCTTTACTTCCCTTCTCTCTTTGTTTAGCTAGTTTATGCATATATTTTTCACTATCTTTGATATCGGGCAATAAATAAATACAGGGCAGACAGTTCTAAAAATTAAAACAAAAGGAAATTTGCAAGGATTTTATAAACCATGCCCAAAATTGAACCCGCAATAAAGAATATTTTCAAAAACATGAAGTTGTAACTAGCTATTTCTATATAAAAGCTGTAAGAGAACAAGTTGATACAGTTGGACTCAGATAACAGAAAAATAATCGCATACTAATTGAAACAATAAATAAATAAACGAGCTTAAAAGTGCATTTTAATTGTTCTTCCGTCTCCTTTGATATTCAAAAAACAGTTATAACACTATGGCAAAGGTATTTTAGAATGGGATCATTTCAAGCCCAAAGAAGTATAGCTCACGAGCAGGTTCACCGAACAACATTAACTTCATAATCACAGAAAGGTAAGCACTATAATTAGCTGAAAGCTTACAACAAAATTTCATCAGCCAAAATTTACATCTAAAGAGAAACGAGACCTGCTTCGATGACGCAGAAGAAACCGCGCTGCCAGGTTTAGGTGGCGGGAGAGTTGCCGAACTAAATTTCTGCAAAGGAACACTCAGCTGCTCATAGAGAGCCATCTTGTTCCTCGGAGGCGCTCTCGGCCCTCCCTTCTCCGTATCGTTCACATGAACTCTCGGAAACATGGGTCTCATAGATTTGTCATCCTCCTTCCCCACTTTCATCGTCCCCATATCCAATCTCAACACTCAATCACCCTAAACGGCGAACACACTCCGGCCTCCTGAATCACTCACCAGCTCCCGGAACCCAAATCCTCTTTCTGTTAGGAGAAACGTTTCGGATCTGACACCGCTCAACAAAGAAAAGCATGAAGCAGGTATGAAAGGCCAGAAGCCCTTAACGAAATCCACACCGAAACTGAATCAAACGCTCTTC